GTGTGATTACAAGATGCAGCCTAATAATATAATTCCTCAGTTCAGATATTGATCCTTGGGAGCGAAGCAGGGGGGTGGAGAAATACCTGCTGCCTGTTTTCTCCTCTAACAACTCCCCAAAGAGCCAGAGCCTCATCCACCCCACACGGCCAGGCGTGCCAGGAGATCAAAACTCACCGGGGACACGCACTGTGCCTTTCAGGTAACTTATACTATTATTAACGATCATAAAAGAAACTATCACGGCGTTTTGCATCTCTTTCATCTGGCAAGCCTGCGAGCACACTTATTGAGGAAGCCTCGCTTCTCTGCAAGGTGGATTTCAGCACTTCCTTGCTGGAGCAGGGAACTGAGGCACAGAGAACACACCGTGACCCCGGTGCCACCGCTGTCATTGTCCTCATTGCTTCCTCCTGTCACTGCCCCATGCTCCCAAGCTGAGCTGTTTCCTTTGGTCGGTGTCCCCGAAGACCACACACGAGAACAGACTCGCAGCCAACCTGCTCGGATGCCAGGCTGGGCTGCTGCAAGCTAAATGGTCTTGCTAGAGTTCAGGAAATAACGCATATTCCTGACAAAATCAGGTCTCACGTCTCACCTGGCATCGCCGTCCTCCTGCCGCTAAGCTCTGTGCATGCTGCAGAGGGGCTCACACCAAGGTGCAGCCACCAGCACTGCTCCAGCTGCTGCTAAAGCCAGGAAACCGCTCACAGGTTGCACTTGGGAAATTGAGACCTTTCCTCCTTCCCTGTGTTTCCCAAAGCTGCTATGGTTAACCCCAAAACCACCACCGCTACCACCACCTCACATCAGGAGCACTCATTTCAAGGAGACAGACGGAGCCTGAAGTCACCAGAAATATCCCGAATTCACAAAAAAAACAAACACTGGAGGTTAGGGACATGCTCATGTCAATATGTCCAAAGGGCAGGAAGGGGATTAGCGCATCAAAGCGACTAATTAGGGCACTGGCTTGTTTCTGAAACACGACCGGCTCTAACTCGAGGGGCGCAAAATGGAAGTTGAACCCGAAATATTTGTGGCAGACTCCTGGATCCTGTGGAAAGCAGTACACATGTTTAACTGTAGGTAAGTGAACGCTCCCATTAAGTGTGAGGCAAAACATGTGCTTAAGTGTTTGCAGAATGCAGGGCTAAACGCAAAACCGCCGGGTAATAGGGGGAGCAGCATTTGAGGAAAGTAAGGTCACCTGCCCTCCGCAGATTAACCAAACCATCTCTCACTGCGAAATAGCAAAGTTCACCCACAACACAGTCCAGGCTCCCTCGTAGACATGCACATTTTTTGCAAACTACCCCAGGATGACAGCTTTTCAGAAAACCAGGACAAGCTCCAGGCCCTGGCTCAGGATCGCGCTGCAGAGCTTGGATCCAGGCGAAAACTTCTCCAAATTCCCATGCCCTGCAGCCCTCCAGGATCTGTGCCCACCTCCACAGCACCCTGGTGCAGAGGCTGCTCCGCCTGAGCAGGACAGGTCCCCACAGACCCCAGTATGTGACCAGCACCAAGAGCTGGGCTCAGATGCTGTATTTTGAAGCCAGCTGCAGCATCCTCTGCTGAGTCCCAGCTGCCAGGAGCTGTGACGGGCTGGGCCCAGCAGGATGCTGTTTGTTGAGCTGGGAGCCTGAAAGGTGTCTCTTGCTTATGCATCTGAGCGAACGACTACATTACCATCTGATTTTTGGTTCCAAATAGGATAAAAATAGAGACTCATATACAAATTAAACATTGCTCTATGTATATTGTGAACCCTATAATTAGCAGGTAATAGTCGCTCTTTAATTAAATAAATTGTTACGCTAAATAGAAGGATTTTTGCTTAATTACAGGCTAATCCTATTTCCCCAGCATATGTGATATTTCCTTATCTCCCACAATGGAAGAGGCGCATTTGAATGGAAGTACGTTTGTGTTATCCTATGACATACAGGCTCGGGGAGAGACCTCAGTTTTCTGCAGAGCTGCTTGGCCCCTCATGCTGGAAAAACCTAAGGCCCTGTCACCAAGGAGGGGACAAAAGCTTTCAGGAGAAGAGACACAGAGGAACGCGCAATGAGCAAATGCCTCCAAAGGGAGATGGGTGCCCAAGGCTGGGACCAGCTCCAGCAGCAGGGCAGCTCTGGGGTTTTCAGACACGTTCCTGAGGGTTTGCATCTTGCAGCAGAGCACAGGTTAAGTAAGACATCCTGCTTGTGTTATTTCCAAGCCCTCAGACCTTTAGGGAAATGAGTTATAACCAAGTAACCGAATCTGACAAAGTCAAAGGGCAATCCTGCCAGTTTATAGATGGAGAAACTGAGGCCAGAGAAGCGTGGCAGCAAACCTTGCATTGGGTCAGCAAACACCACCCAGGCACCGCTGCCAGCGCCTGCCTCTAACCACTGGGCTCGGTGGCTTTTGTGTTTCTCCTTTCCATTATGCATACCCTTCCTTTTTCCCTTAATGATTTAGTGATGTTTGTTCCCTCACACTGTGCGCAGACCTTGCAGATCAAAATAGCCAGTCATCTAAAAAAAATTCTTCATCCTTTGTTCTTCAAAGAAACCAAATAATCTCAATCCTTTGAGAAAACTCAAAGGGTGAAGGCAAAGCATCAGGACTGATGAGAACAATAGTGGTGTATCCCCCGATGAACAAGTAGATCTCTAGTGCTGTGTGGTTATTAAAAAAAATAATAATAATTCCTTGTAGTGAAAATTCCTGGGTCAATTACTTGTTGCCACAGGGAGATTTCCTAGGAGTTTTATTGTTATTATCACTATTCAATGATTATATGCAGCAACACAAAGGTGAGTTTTTATGTGAAGAGATGCAATGTTTGGTAAATCTTAAGCAGCACACAGCAGAGGAGGTGGGGGGGAGATCAAAGCCCCTGTATTCCTGCAACATTTTGGAGCCAATGACAGCCATTTATTGTTTCTTTCAGAGGCCCATAGTGTTTTTCCTCAGTAATGAAGGCTAAATAGTGAGATGGTAGTGACTGGACACACAGCCATGGCATTTCTGCTATGAGTACATCCACAGGCACCGTGGTCTCGCCACATCCCTCACCTCTCAGGATGGTGGAGGAAAACCTTTGGGTTCCCATCACTTACATCTGGCTTGGTTTCTGTCCATCATGCTCCAGGCTGTGCCCAGTCAGAGCCTGCTCCGGTGGGCAGGAGCAAACACAAAATGGAGCTGGACAACGCTTCTGCAAAGTGCCTTTCTGATCCAAATAAAGGCTGCCAGTAAGTCCCTTTTCAGTACCCCTGTAATTCCCTTTTCAGTACCACAGCTTTGTGCACAGGGAGCACCTCCTCTGCAGCAACTTCCTCCAGCACGCAGAGGGCAAATACTGGTTTGCCTTTTATTTCATTTTTTTCTGACTAAAGGCAAAAGGAAATATCAGAAAATATGAGAAGAAGTAGAAGGCCAACGCTTCTCCCCACATGCTGTGAATGGTAGCCTTCCTCTGACAAAGTAACACTAATTTTCCTTTTTAAAAAAAATATGTATTGATATACATATGTATATATTTATAGACATACCATTCCTTTCTCCTTCTGAGATGAATTACACATGTTTCCCAACCAGATACAGCAGAAATGCTCCAGTTCACACCTGGAGCCTGCACTGAGAGCCACATTTTGACTCAGAGCCTTTGACAAGCCCTCCGCAGGGTGTGCAGGCACCAATTTCTCCACACCCCAGCCCACCAAGCACACAGCCCCTGCCTGCACGAGCCATTTACCCACCACTGCATGCCAGCCCAGCTCCTGGTGCCACACATACAGACAATTTATTTGTCCCATCCTATTTTCTGAATGACAGAAATTTGGATTTTGCTCTGTTCACACTACCACAACACAGGACTAATGCTTTGCCCAGTAACTCAATCCCAATCCCCTGCTCCCAGCAAGGTTTGTACATCTGAATCGCATCCCAGGGGGCCCCCACGGGTGCCACACAAGCCACCAGCAGCCACACACCTCATGGTTGCAGAAGCAGGGCCTGAAGAAGGAATGGTTCCCATTTAACCGGTTGCCTGAAGAGAATTAATGTACTAAGTGTTCTGAACAGATGCATTTGGATGTGAGCACTGATATGAGATGCTGTCTGGGTATCAAATAGGTAGCTGAAATACATCTACCAAGCCCCTACTCTTTGATCACCAGAAGTCACTCAGCATTTACACATCACAGGAGGATGCTCAACACCAGAAGGCAGAGAATCAGCCAAAAAGGAAGAAGGATAACTGAGTATTTGTGTCTTAAAGATGTGCAGCCATTAAAAAAATAAAAAATATAAAAATCACATATCCAGCCTCCCAAGGGCAGCAGCGCCTCATGCTCAGAGGATTTATGCATGCTTCACGTGATGATTAGCTCTGCCGTTCACCAAAGAGTTAAGAGATGTTTTCATTTCTCGTGTCACCAAGTAATCTCACTTCCGATTCCTCTTACAAAGTCATGCCACAGGATCTCCTGTATTATTTACAGCCTCTCAAATGCCACTCTACAGCTGAAAGGCAGGACAGGGCTGTGGAAATACAGTTAAAGCCTGAGGGCCTTATCCTCACCATGTCTGGACCCACACATCTGCAACATGGCTGCCTGCAGTGCTCAGGGCTGGTGCCAGCCCAGGACATGAACCTGGCCAAGGAGGAAGGCTTCCTTATACCTCCTCAGTGCCCAGAAAGCCAGGGAAGGACATAAAAGACAGGCTTGTTTTGCTTCCACAAACAAAAATGAGCATTGCACAAGGCATTTTTAGACTATATGGTTAAAAATCCTCTCAGACTGACTGATTTTAAGGTTAAAATAGGTTGTGATGCAGAGGGAGGAGCCCTGCCTGTTCTCACACAGGTACCAGGACACCAGACATGCCCCACACACTATGGGACCAGCTCAGAGCAGCTCCTGGACACAGAACGCCCCCATCTCTGCCCAGACCTTTGCAGCAAGGCCTCGCTCACCCCCACCACACGTCACACTCACCTCACCCTGAGGGCCGCAGTCCTGCCAGCGCCTCCATGCCAGGCTCCCCCATCCCATTATCCTTCAGGGCTGTAGCAGAATCTCCAGCATGAGCAGGACTTGCTCTCAGCATCCCCACAACAGAGCCAAAAAGAGCAGACTGTGATCCTTGGCTGCAGATATCCCTGAGGAGGGCTGGGGCAGGGCTGGCAGCCCGTCAAGCCAAATGAGGGGCACCTGTGGCCTGTGCTGCCACCTGGGCCACGTTCCCCTTTCAACTTCCTTCTGTGAAGGCAAAGACATCCCCACGTAGCACAAATCAGCCCCAAATCAGCCCTGGGCCTCTCTCTGTTAAACTTACAGCCCTGTGAAACCTTTGGTACCTGGCCCCACGCTCACCTGGCTTGCTGCAAGTTCAGCGCTCAGCCCGGCTTCACCCAAAGCTTTTGCTCGAGTTTGCAAACTCCCCAAGCAAACCTGGTCCCAATTTGGAGTTGGTTTGAACTCAATTTGAGCTGATTTATAGTCTGGCATTAAACAACAACAACAACAACAACTGTGCTTCAAAATGGCAACTCTGACCATAATTTATGTGAGGCCAGATGGAACTCGGTGTTTTCCATTAAGTTTCAGCTGGATTTTGCAATTTTAGTTTTTGGTTCAAATAGAGAGTTAGAGCAAAACATGGAGGAAGGGATGGAAAGCAGCAATTAATTCACATAAAGCTTAACAGGAGGGTAGGTATATAAATGGCTTGCAGCACCGAGCGGTGCCCTTGTGTGTATGATTAGCTGTAAATGAAAGACAACAGTGGAAGTGTTGCTTTGAGCTTGTCCCTGTGCTGCTTGGCCAGGATTTCTTTTCACTCACCAGCCAACTTTGCAGCCCCTCAGATCAACTGTGCCATACACTACGCTGCAGTCCAAGCCATTGCAGCCTTGTCTCACAGCTACTTTCCTTGAGATCCCAATATTTTAGCACCTAGGATTAGGTCACAGTGCAAGCTGAACCTTTGGCATTTCTTCCCAGCAAAGAACTCATAAACTGATGTTTGAATATGCTCAGACCGAACCAATAGTTGAAAATTTGCTCCTCCCTGAGGTACCAAGTTTCAGGCTGGGTATTTTGTTTTTTTACAGAGGAATATCTGGAACCTTTTAAAGGATTAAAAATAAGTTGCAGTGGATCATTTGTTTGTGAGACAGAAGAGGCTTCAAAGATCCTCGAGCGGATCAAACAGGAGCGTTCAGAGGCTTCACAAACTGATGGAGGCCACCGGGCAGGAAGCGTCTCGAATGGCTTGCTCTTTTGTGCCCACATCAAAGTGCCCCTGTGTGACTGGCAGCCTCCTTTCTGGCCGGTGGTCCGCCGGGGACTGGGTGGCAGCAGAAAGAAGATTTGCCTCCTAGTTCACCCCGTGCAGTGTATGTGCAGGTCAGAGGAGATACTTGCACAGTGGTATGGCTTACAGCAGGACCTTCCCCTTGTGTTGCTTGCCCTGCTTGCTCTCTTGTCCTCTACTCATCCCTGCTTTTCCCTTCTTTTGGCTGGGCAAGAGGAAGCCATGTGAATGTGAAAATCTGCAGTGTGACCTACAGCCCACGTTGTACTCGCCTTATAGCTGGGGCTGCTATGCCAAAAAGTTTATTTATGGGATTTGTGGCCAACTGAAGGCAATGGGAAGAACACCGCTGGCAGAACTGTCTTGTGGGTGAGGCCTTGGGCTGACGGATCCTGGAAAACCTAAGTGAAGGGTTGGAGAATGCAGCTACTTGTCAAAGCGGGGGCCTGAATCCACTTGTGCTCCCCTTTTCTTTCTTCCTACCCTTACTCTGAAGCTGCAGGAGGAGAAGGGAGCCTTCTGCTACCTCAGTCCTACAAATCTGGGCCCAGAGGAGTAATAGCAAAGGTGTGCAGTAAATAACTGCAGCCTCAGCACCCCAGCGGGCTGTGGCTCAGGACCAGGGCCCTAGGCTGGCCCAGAGACACCGCCTGCCTCGGCTGCCTGAGGTTCTGGCAGTCTGCATGGCCCAAACTGGACGGGGTCAAACTGGTGCTCAAAGGCTGCTGAGGAAAAACTGGAGGCTGGAGGGATCTGTGTGACCAGGGCCTGATTCTGCAGCCAAGGACCAAGCCCATTGATCTGCAAAAGGCTGCAGGAGCTGCAGCCCACCTGCATTAATTCAAGGCAGATACACCAGCAGCAGCCACGTGTGCCACGTGGCAGTGAGAACCTCCAGAGTTCATGGCAGGGGATGGCAGTTTAATGAAGTTTACTGTGAAATTAGCTAGGAAAACTCTACATAAAGGGAGGAGAAATACAGCCTGTACAGTGTGTGAGATCATTATATTACAGACACTTTCAAGGCCATTTCATAAGGAGGCACTGAAAAAAAAAGACCCTATGAGAGACTAAAAAAATCCTGCACCTCTTAACATCCTGCACTTTTAACCAAAGGCTGAACTTGCACAGAGAGCAACGCTTTTCATATTTAAATCCAATCAGCACGATGGCAGGCCAGGGAGAAATATATCCAGGCTTTGGAGCCCAGCAATGAAGGGGGGAGCACATAAAAATGGGGTCAGCTGGGAAAAGAAGCTAGCAGAAGCCCTGGTGTAGCCACCAGTTCACTTTTGGGTTTTAAGGAGCAGCCAGATGTTGTTCTACCAACTCTCCTTCAGCTGATCAGCAAGCCCTAAAGAGGAGGTGTCGTGGTGGGGTGGTCACCCAGGTAACTGTGCAAAATCAGCAGCACTCTGCCCCTCAGATATATGGTTTTAGGAACTGCTCAGGTGGCCAAAAATGTCATGCATGGGAAGGAGAGGCTTGCTCCGCTTCTGGGGAACACACTTCTTGCTCCCACTCTGCGCACCCCAAGGCTCAAAGCTTCCTTCGAGGCTGGCTGCTGCCAGCTCACCAGGGCATGCGGTCAAGGGGCAGGTAGGGAGCCCATCTCCAATGTGTCTCAAAAATTTACCATTCCTAACAAGGCTAAAAAGATGGCATCTTAATTAGATGTAAAAATTACATCAAGCTCATTAACTAATTACAAGGGAAAGTCCCTGCAGCAGATGCCTGGATTGCCTAAAGTACTGCTTACTCTGAACTACTAACTTTGAAAAAGGATTCTGCTATTAAAGCATTATTTAGTTCCAAAAGCACAACAAACTCATCTATTTTTTATCATGTCTGTCCCATCTAATCCCTTTACAGCTTTTATGAAGTGTGTGCGAGGCAGGACGGGGGCGTGGGAAGACGTCCTTACAGCTGCCTGGGACCCTTCACGATGACACCAGGAGCCTTGGCAGGAGCCATCCATCCCGTACCTGACACTCGGGGTCTGGGCTTCAACTGGTGCCTCCGCAGCTCCATCAGGAGTAAAATATTGAATGGCCTGAGAGGTGAGGGCTGAAGCATTAAGTCATGGAGCAGCCAGGAGTAAATGCAACCAATAAACTACCTATGGACAGCAGATCTTCTCCTTTCCTTTCCAGTGGGAGCTGATAAAGCAGGAGACAGAGATGGATATCGTGGTTACTCCTCATTGCGCCAGACGAGGACTCGAACTGGAAATACCATTTGTATCAGCGAGCACACATCGTTGCTTCCCAACCTGCTGGAGAGGCACAGCTGCAGCAGATTCAGGGTACACAGGAAGCCAACGGGGCTTCTTGTTGACCTTGTGAGTCAACGTGAAAGTGTTGTGAAACCCTCCCTTGCACAGAGTGCCTCGGTGGTTCAGCAGGGTGAGCGTGCAATTTGCTGACAAACTGAACTCAGCGGAAACGTGCTGAGTGCTACGCAGAAATATTTGCGAGAGGTGGGCTCGCTTCAGGGAATACCAATTATATTTTCATTTTTTAACTGATAGCGGCTGACATGCAACCTGCAACAGCACACTCTCCACTTAGCTTTGAAAGGGTAGTTTCATGTTCAGAGAGCTAGCACAGGAAAGCAGGAAGAAATCTTGGCCAGCAGCAAAACAACAAACTTGATATGATCTCGAGAGTCTCATGCAAAAGCTGGGTGCCCATTTGTCACCTACAAGGAAGCTCTGCTAATTCCAGTGGGAGTTACAGCAGAGAGAAGGTGGGACTCAGAGAGGAGTGGTGGCAGAGTGTGGCTGCAGTGTTTGTGGTGCTGGATCCGTGATGTAGTGCACCCAGAACCCAACTGGGATCTTTAGCAGAAATGCTAAACTGCACACTGACGTGAAAGAGAAATAAACTTTGTTTTCAGGTGCTTACAGGCTGCTTTCTGTCTCCCAGTGCGAGGGAACAAATGAGGGCTACACGGGGCAGTAACACCAACAACACAGTGGAGATGAAGGGAAGGTCGCCTACAGAAAAGAGAGATTTGAGGCAGGGACCAACTCTTTGTTGTGGGGTTTCAGGCACTGCAGTCACACCAGTAACACCTTCTCCCCATTAACTTATAATGGGAATTGAGTCGGGCCAGTTTTGCTCTGCTGTGGCAAAGGGACAAGAAGCTCCCGGGGTGTCCGCACCAGGAACCGTGGAAGATGCTGCCTCCGTGTCGGTGTTTCTGGAGTTGTGGTGTCCTTACCGACTGGAATACAGAAAATGTGGAAAGGTTTCAGAGAACCACAAGAACTGATCCCAATTTTGCAACAGCCTGCCCCATATCTGGCATCCCGATGCCTGCGGGGCCTCAAGCCTCCACCAGCGTGGGCTCCCGGCTGCCTCCCAGCTTCGTCCCCTGGGGCAGAGGCACCCCCCTGCGATGTGTGTTCCAGCCATCCCAAAATATTTGCCCTCCTCCCCTCTTGAGGCTGCAGGAATGCCTTAAAACGTTTCTAATCGTGTAATCTCAGCTGTCACATGACCTCAGCGAGAGAAAATGGCCAAATTCAGAGGAAACTGTTTGCTTAAACCTACCATTAGCTCCCCCTCCCCGCCCCCCCTTTAAATAAACAAACAAACAAACGAAAAACCCCGCAGCCTGTACGGGTGCTGCTGTTTTCCTTTCCCTCGAAAGCCGGAGGAATTGCATGCTCAGGGCACTTCAGTTATTCGAGGGCGCTCTGAAAGCCCCACGGCTGGCGAACAAGCCTCTCCTCTGCTCGCAGGGGCATTATCAATAAGGAGCGCCATAAATCGTCCGCTGAGCAGGAACTCAAAGACCAAAGCCGTGTAACTCAAACAGGCTCAAAGCAAAAGGAGTCCCTTTAGTGTGAGGGTGGTCTGTGTAAAGTTAGGAGACACCTGCTAGCAAGTCCTGAGACACTAGCATCTGTGTAAACTTGCCCCCTCCCTGCGCCCACAACCCTTCTAAGGTGTTGAATGAATCAGCTCCATGAAAAAGGCTCTGTCTGGGGCAGTTCTAAGGCTTACATACACCTAAGTAAAACAGAGCCGGTGCTGTGCAGCCCTGGGATGGATTACCAGGGACCACAGGGAGGCCTATTAATTATTGTGACAGCCCGATCTGCTTGCTGACTGGTGGCTGGAGCTGCGCGGAGGGGCGGGGGTGCGATAACACGGCCGCCCGTGCGAGGGCTTCGGGAGCCTGCCATGAACTCAAAGGGATGCGAGGAAAGCAGAGCATGAGGGAAAAGCCCAGGACTTTGGGGGTACCCACCCTGGAGGGGACGGGGCCAGCCGCAGCACCCCGGTGCCACCCCAAAGGATCCGGCCGTCCAGGTGTGTGGGGCTGCAGTCCTTCACCCGCTGAGATGCACTGCGAGCAGGATTTGAGCCCTGGTTTGCTCTTAATTGAAAAGCAAAAGCTAAACAGTGAAATCTCTCCGCACAGGCCAGCACACTTCCCTGTGAATTAAGCGGTGGGAATATATTAGCACTGGCAAACTGGAATCTGGAAATGCCAATATTTCACCAAAGCCGTTTTTTAATATGCAGCAGAGTCACACAGATCACTCTGAAGTTTCTAGCTGTAGGTGAAATCTTCTCATCACCAGCTCTCGCTATAATACGCGCTTATCTTAAAGGACATTTACTTTCCTGTGCTTACCGACTGTATTTGAATTGTCAAATGACACTTTGCTGGAAATATTAAAACCTAGAGGTCATGGAGGACCCGACTTGAAAGCAGGAACACGCATTCTTTCGTCTGAGCAAAAGTGCATATTTGGAATTTTAAATGCAAATTTTTTTATTTTTTTTTTTGGAGGAAGAATCGCTCTTCTGGCAGTCGAGTACAGGCAGCGCATTTGAAAGAAGGCTCTGCTTTAATTTTTGACAAGTGTTGCGAGCAGATACCCTGCGCTGCTCTCAGGGGGAAGGGATGGAGCAGGGCTGCAACAGCGGGGTGACGGGGAGCCGGGGGGGCCCCTACAGCCCCCTCTCCGCTTATCCTCCTGGTCGGTGGCTGCAAACAAGTGCCCCTGCTCCCCAAGCAGCTCGCAGGCAGTCTGGCAGCCCGGTCCCTCGGGAGGGTGGTGAGGAGACGGGAGGTCTGGGGAGCTCTGTCCCCCCCGGCCGCACGACCTTTGGCTCCGGTCCTAAGCCCCAGCAGCGAGCCAGGCTCTAGCTGCTGCGATACCCGCACGGCTCGGGCTGAAGAAAGGCAGGCGGTATCTGGCTTATATACTCTGACTGCAGGAATGTTTTCTTTCTGGGGGATAAGGCTTATCTGTTCCCCTCGTTCCTACTTCCTTTTAGGGCGTGCGGTGAATGGACAGGAAGGGGAAAGTAAAGATGTTTGGCATCTCTCTAAAAAAAAAAATCCTGGAGCAAAACCCCCTCATGGGACACTTGCAGATTAGCCAGAACCTTGCTGCTGGGCAGTGACACTCCATGGGACATGCTGAGGTGCATCCCAGGACGTGCCTGGCTGCGGGGCCAGATCCTGCCAAGGGTGCTCGGGCAGCGAGCAGTGAACCAGCACGCCTGAGAGGATGAGCAGTGACCATACCTGGAGGTGAAAACAAAACCCCCAGGGCTTCTGAGTGCAGTTTTCCTGACACCTCTCAGTTCCCCTAGTGCTGGGCTGCTGGTAGGTCCAATATTTGGATGCAAGCCCCAAAAACGTAAAGGTTGCTCTGAAGAAAAGTGGGTGGAAGACACCTGCACATCAGGGAAGAGAATTCCCATCACCAGGCCCTCTCCTTCCCTTCCTCTTTACAAATACAGACGTGGTTTGAGCTACACAGACCAGACTTGCTCCTGGAGGTAACGCAGGGCAATCGTCCAGCACCATGACCAGCACTGCGCTTACCTGTGCCTGCAAATGTATTCATTGCTAGCCCATGCTGACATCAAGTTGTCCACCTCCTCCTGGACATTTTACCCTACACAACCTGGCTCAGTCTGTGCAGACGTGCTCCCAGTCACCCCATCACCTCGCCGAGGGTGCAGGACCTCCTTCCCCAGCAGCACGCACCCCACGGGGCTGCTTCACGCCCTCCTCGCCATCCGCAGAGCCCGCTCCGCGCCTCCCGGAGAGCTCCTCGGTGCTGATCTGCAGTTTGGATGCGGCGGTGTTTTTATACAGAAATGACATTATGACAAATGGTGAAGGATTAAATTACACTTCAATCAAATCAAGCCAAACCAGTAGGGATTGAGGTCCCAGTGGAAAGTATACATGGAGTTCCTCAGCTTCCTGATTTGAATGACTTTGTTCTTCTTCCAGAGAAAAGAGGGGGGCGAAGGAGAAGAGAGGGGAAAGGGAGAGGAGGGGGGAATTTGGCCTAAAATGAAACATTTTCCTTTTAAGTTGAACATTTGAAAATGGCTGGGAGGAAAGAACTGAAACCCTGTAATGGCTGATACTGAAGAACAGCCTGGGACTTTTGCTTTTCGAGAACAGAAGCCAGGGAGAGAGCTGTGGTGTGAAAAAGGCAACGCTGTGTGCCTTGAAGGGGAAGGTGTTTGCAGCAGCCCATCTCCTGCAGACACTGAAAACCCCCTGCAAGGCACTAACCCAATTAGCTTTGCGGAGAGCTGTGCTGTGAAAAGGCAAAGGCACTGACAGTGGTTTTGGTAAAGGCTAAAGACAGCTTCACTCTGCCTTGCACTCCCATCAGAGTCACTTTATTATCTTTGTGTTACCAGATCTTGCACAGGTTGGCTCAAGAGCCTTTAGCTCCGCATCTCTGTCCAACTGGAAACCTTTCGTGCTGGTTCCCAGCGCTCTTCTGAATGTGGGAGCCTTTCGAAACGCTGCAGAAACAGTCCTGGCATGAATGGAGCTGCCTGTAGACAGACAGATGCGCAGACAGACGG